AAAAATTCCGACCTCATGAGGTCGGAATTTTTTCTCAATTAGATATTTTATAATACCGACTTTCGAATGTCGGTAAAATTAAATAGTATGTAATTAAAATACCGACCTCATGAGGTCGGTATTTTTTATATTTAGTTGAGAAAATAATACCGACATCAAGAGGTCAGTTTTTTATTGTAATTCATTTTCTGGGAAATATTCCGACTTCTTGAGGTCGGAATTTGGTTACCCGCAAATCGCAAACCGACCTCTGGATGTCGCTTTTAAAAGTAATTAGATGAAATAAAAAATATCGACCTCCGGATGTCGCTTTTAAATGTAATTAGATGAAATAAAAAATATCGACCTCCGGATGTCGCTTTAATTAATAGTAATTAGATAAAATAAAAATTCCGACCTCATGAGGTCGGTATTTTTATTGTAATTCATTTTCTGGGAAATATTCCGACTTCTTGAGGTCGGAATTTGGTTACCCGCAAATCGCAAACCGACCTCTGGATGTCGCTTTTAAAAGTAATTAGATGAAATAAAAAATATCGACCTCCGGATGTCGCTTTAATTAATAGTCGAAATAAAAATACCGTCCTCATGAGGTCGGTATTTTTATTGTAATTCATTTTCTGGGAAATATTCCGACTTCTTGAGGTCGGAATTTGGTTACCCGCAAATCGCAAACCGACCTCTGGATGTCGCTTTTAAAAGTAATTAGATGAAATAAAAAATATCGACCTCCGGATGTCGCTTTTAAATGTAATTAGATGAAATAAAAAATATCGACCTCCGGATGTCGCTTTAATTAATAGTCGAAATAAAAATACCGTCCTCATGAGGTCGGTATTTTTTATATTTAATTGAGAAAATAATACCGACATCAGGAGGTCGGTTTTTATTGTAATTCATTTTTTCCGGGAAAAATTCCGACCTCCGGAGGTCGGAATTTGGTTTTCCCGCTTTATTTTGCATAAAAACCGACTACTTGTAAATACCGACCTCCATTTGAGGTCGGAAATTTTTAGGTCGCTATTCACTGTTTTTTTAGTAGTGAGACATTATAAAAATATTTAAAAAATAGTTACCAAATTGATTATCCATCAACTGGATAAGAGTGATTTCATCCTTACAATGCTCCAATTTGATGAATCTCAAAGACCCACTTCCAATTTCTCAAAAGTGAATCTCTTCAATCCTTCAAAGCTAAGGAAAAACTATAGAGAATAGTTCTAAGTTACCAAAAATAGATAAGATAAGTTCCCAAATATAAAATTCTCTAGTCAAAAGATACTAAACTAAATGTTCAAAATCTTATTTATAGTTGCCAAAAATAAGCCACGAAGGGCCAGTCGGCAAAATAAGTCGGGCTCGCCAAACCACTTGGTGAGCCGCCCTTTGACCTCTTCCATCACCTTTTCGCCTTAGCATTCAACATCCTCAAGGTCTGTATCTTTGGGTGATCTAGCTTTACTTCGCAGAACTGCTTGGCAATGCGCCGAATGCTCCCTTTCATCGCCAATTTGGTTTCTTCCTTCAGGGCTTGGCACACTGGAATTTTAGGCAGTCTGATAAGCCACTCGGCCACATGTTGAGTGGTCTTGGCGATCCTCAGGCTCACCCTTCTTCATTTCTTCAGCTTGTTTGTTCCTTTTTGCCTGTTAGTGTCCTTGCTTTGTTCCTCAATCCATATACCTGAAAATCAAGGATTTAACATCAGTTATTTGAACAAATTAAGCATTTGAGGACACTAAATCTATATAAACAAAGCCCTAAATGAGTCCAAAACCAAGACTCATCACCCTACACTTGGGAAAATGTAGGAAAAGCATGGATTCGTACAAAAATACACTAACTATGATAGCCATGCATAAAAACCTTGAAAACATGCTAAAAAGGGACATATCATTATAAATCATGTTATATGCCAAGTTTGCACATAATCATAGAAATAGTTGGAAAACATAACTCATAAACATAGCTCATATAGGTCATCATAGCATAAGAGAAACACTTCATACACACCCTCGAAGTCTACTTGTGCGATGCATGGATAAGACCCCATAAACCCCACCCATGTTAAGTAAACCCTTTTAGGTCATCATCAACATACTTACCATCTTATGGTCTCATCCTTAGCTTAATTCTCATAGACAAGGGAACCTTCACCTTTAGTCAACATATCATGGAAGGCAACAATAGTAGCAATCTATCAAAACATACATCACATAAGAGAAGCACTTCCTAGAAAACCTCAAGTCATACTTGTGCAATGCATGGACAAGACCCCATAATTCTATCCATACTAAGTACCACTTAAGGTCATCACATTCATACTTCTTGGTTGGGGACTAGTCACCCTCTTGAAACCTTGGAACACTAGGAGACACTTCAGTAAGCATATCTTAGTTCCTCATTAATTCGAACCCTATGAGATACTTCCTTAAGCATGTCTAAGTTCATTATTATCTTGAGAACTATGAGATACTTCACTAAGTACATCCTAGTTCATCATTGTTTTGAACTCTAGAAGATGTTTCTTCAAGCATGTCTTAGTCCATTAGGTTTGAACTCTAGGAGATGCTTCTTCAAGCACATCTTAGTTCATTATGTTTGAACTGTAGGAGATGCTTCTTTAAGCACATATTAGTTCATTATAAATCATGTTGTAGTTGGGATATAGCCTT